GCATTGGGTTTGGGTTTGGTTTTATCCTCACTGACCTTCTCCTTCCTCAAACATAGCATCCTTCTCCTGTGATTGACCCCTTCTAGTGAGGTGTCCAAAGCAAGCAAGTCAGACAATGCCTTGTTCTGATTTTCACCAGCTCACTTCTAAAATGAAATCATCAGACATTTCTTCTTCATCTACTTCATTTCAAAAGTTCTGCTAAAACGTATCCACCATGGGAGATCTTGCTGGTTTTTTAAATGCAGGCAGCATAGAGCCCCACATCACAACATTCAAGCTGCCACAGTATGATAAGCTGAAAGACAAGTTGTTGTTAGGTGCTATCAAGTCTCCTTGGAATCACAGTGACCCTGTGAATGACAGATCTAAATCTTGCTCTGTCCTGCACCATCTGCACCATCTCTGATATGTTCCAGCCTTTTGTTGCTGTCCCTGTGTCAATCCATCTTGTTGAATCTCTTCTTCTCTTTCTCTGACCTTCCACCAATCCCAGAATGAAGTGCTGGGTTAGGGGTGGGGGGGTTTCTAAGAACCAGCCCGTCCTGATAACTTGCCCAAAGAGGAAGTTTTACCATCCCTTCCTCTAAGAAAGTCTTAAAAGCAAGCTTTACTGTATCATCTAAGAAGTAGAGAAAAGCAGAGATGGAGATACACAGGAGCAGTCAGATGATAGGCAAGGACAAAAACTTGATCAGTTTCAAGATCAGAATGTAAAATGATGGTAAAAGAGGGCAAGGAAGACCTTTGGTGAGATAGATTAGCACAATTGCTGAATTAACTGAAAGATTCCCTAGGTAAACATCGTCAGTGGTATGGACACCACAGCACCTGCAAAAAAATTCTCCTTGGCCTTGCTTGGTCCCAAGGAAGATACACTACTCTGGGCACACGGTAAAATAGACAGTTAATGGCTTTCCTCAAGATAGAACCTGTCTGGTCTCTAAAGGTCAGCTTCTCTACACCACTCTAATGTCCTGTGGATGGTGACAAATGCCACTTCGAGCAAGAAGTCCTCAATGTTGGATACAAAGTAAAGTGAAAAGTATTCCAAGACAGATATAACACTATCAATTTGTCTAGCAGAGGAGAATTGACAGTAAGATCACGCACTCTTAGTTAAGTGGGAGCAAGTTCCTTTTGATCTTTAAGTCCTTGTCCTCATTCATTCAGTAGATTTTTAATTCTATTATCATTATTATTATTATTATTCAGGATATAATGTATGCTGAGCATGACGTATTCTTGTCCCACCCTGTAAAATCAGGCTTTAAACAGATAACTGAGAAGCAGGACAACAACTTCCTCAGACCATTGGTTTCCAAGCCTGTCACTCATATGCTCCTTTACAGTATACACAGCTTAGGTCACATCCTAAAGGCAATTTCCCCTTACGACTTCTCCAAGAGTTTGTTCCCTTCCTATCTCCCATCTCAAAATTCAGAAACAGAATTTTCTTTGTGACTTGGAGCTTAATTTTTATCCAGAACCATCATCCTCTGTAATGTTGGCTGAGGACTCCCAAGTTTCTATCCTGAGATCTGGAATCTCACCTCTGTGTTGACCTGGGGACATCCGAGTGAGGCATATTCTGCTGACATTTCACTGGGGTCATCTTGTGTTCTCTAGCTTGAGCAAAGATAGATTAACTACAAGTGTTGGTAGAACACAACTTGCCTGGATGCTAAATACAGGACATGAACTCAGAAATGACAAAAGGGGGCGCCCTGCTGCTATTCCCCATCTCTTGACCAAATCAAACATAATAAATTAATGATGGCATGTTTTCCTACTGATCCTGCATGTAGCTCATCCCCCTTCCCAACCCTCCAGATGGTCATGACCAAACCATTGTAGCTGGTGTGTCTTTATTGTTGTTGTTGTTGTCATCGTTGTCGTTATTGTTGTGTACTGTCAAGTCTGAACCTGACCCTCCAGCAGATTTTCCAGAGTCAGTTAATCACACAGAAGGAGAGAAAGAGATCTTTCTCCTGTGGGGCAGTTAGTTGCATATATTTTTTAAAAAAAACAATCAAAATAAATGTCAAACTCATTGCCATCGAATCAGAACCTCATAGTTGACCTTCCATCCAGTAAGTTTTCAGAGACTAAATCACACAGGAGTAGATTGCCATCTTCCTTCCTTAGAGCAGCTGGTGGATTCAAACAGCCCATATTTGGGTTGGCAGTCCAGTTTAATGCTCTACTACTATGGCACAAGAGCCCCTTTTCTTTAACATATATATTATGTGGTGGAAAGGGTGTGCGCTAAGGATGTGTCCCATCTCCATATTTTTTCAATCTATATGCTGAACAGATTATCCGGGAGGCCAGGCTCTATGAGGAGAAACGTGTCATCAAGATTGGAGGTAGATTCATTAAGAATCTGCATTATGCAGGTGACACAACCCTGCTTGCTGAAACTGAGGAGGACCTGAAACACTTGCTGCAGAAGGTCAAGGACTGCAGCCTTTAATATGGATTGAAGATGAACATCAAGAAAACAAAGATTCTCGCCACTGGGCCAATTGGCAGCATCATGATAGACAGTGAAGAGATTAAGATTGTTAACCGCTTCAGTTTGCTTGGTTCCACAATCAACATTTTTGGTACCAGCAGCCAGGAAATTAAAAGACGAACTGCATTGGGAAAGTCTGCTGTGAGAGACTCTCCGAAGTACTGAAGAGCAACGATGTCAGTCTGGAGACTAAGGCACGCCTGATACAGACCATGGTCTTTGCAATTACTTGTTATGTATCAGAAAGCTGGACATGACTAGAGATGACAGAAGGAGAACTGATGCCTTTGAGCTGTGGTGCTATAGAAGAGTACTGAATATGCCATGGACTGCTAGCAGAACAAACAAGTTCATCCTGGAGAGGGTGCAGCCAGACTGTTCCTTGGAGGCAAGGATTCTGAAGCTTCATCTGACATACTTTAGACATGTTGCAAGGCAGGATCCGTTCTTGGAAAGGGACGTCATGCTTGGGAGGGTGGAGTGACAGCACAGGAGAGGAAGACCCTCAATAAGGTAGATTGATTCAGTGACTGGGGCAATGGGGATAGGAGGGCTGGAGACAATAAGATTGGCACGAGATAGAGCAGGGTTTAGGTTTGTTGTACATAGGGTCGCTATGAGTCACAGGTGACTTGATGGCATATAACACAACAAACAAAGCGACCCTAAGTACAACAGCTCTAAAGGATGCCCTATTCTGAGCCAGTCTCACTAATTCTGGCACACCTACCCTCATCACTCCAGTAACTGTATCAATCCATCTCATCTGGGTCTTCCTCTCCTGCACCATCCCTCCACTCTTCTAAGCCTGATATCCTTCTCCAAGGCCACGTGCCCAAAGTATGTGAAACAGAGCTTCGAAACCCTAGCCTCCAAGGAGAAACTTAGTTTCACCCTCTCCAAGACAGACCTATTTGGTTTTTTGATGGTCCATGCTCAAGACTCTTCTCCAGCACCTCAACTCAAAGGCATCAATTCTTCTTCTGTCATCCTTAGTCATTATCTAGCTCTCTGATGCATAGCAAGTAATTGCAAAGAAGACCATGCCATGCTCAAGACTCTTCTCCAGCACCTCAACTCAAAGGCATCAATTCTTCTTCTGTCATCCTTAGTCATTATCTAGCTCTCTGATGCATAGCAAGTAATTGCAAAGAAGACCATGTCCTGGATCAGGCACAACTTAGTCTCTAGACTGACATAATTGCTTCTCAGTACTCTGGAGAGGAGGCCACCTCACATACTTGGGGCATGTTGCTAGGAGGGGCTTTTCTTTGGAGAAAAACATGATTCTAGAAAGAGTAGAGGGTTGGTGACAGAAAGGAAGACCCTCAACCAGGTGGATTGATTCAATGACTGCCACAATGGCCTCTTGTGTGTCAGGAAGTGGACAGAACAAGGTTCAGATCTTTTGTTCATAGGGTCGCTATGAGTCGTACTTGATACCAACTGCTCCATGGGACACTTGATGGCAATCAACAACAGTACAACAGCAACACCACAAGAAGACATCTTTAACAATCAGAAATTTATTTCTTACTTAAAGAGGTGGTGGAGGAGGCGTTAAGTGCCATTGAGTTGCAGGCGACTCATAGTGACCCTATGAAGGAGAGTCCTCAACACTTGTGTGTCTCTCATCCAGGCAGCCTTAATTTATCATGTGAGCTCTAGGAGAAGACTTTCTCTGTGCACTCTGAGGGGAAATTGTTGCCTCTTTAAGCTTCTTTTCTTGAATTCCTTGGTGGTCTCTATGCGGCATCAATCTTTTCCACTTCTGAGCCTAATCTGCTTTTCTAGAACTCAAAGGTGAATGTCTAAGATGCAACCTACACTCATATGCATCATTAATATGACAAAGCAAACCCTATTCCCAAACGGATGACACAGTCATAGGTATCTCTCACTGCCATGGAATCAGAACTAACTCATAGTTGACTCTCCAGCTGATTTTCAGAGGCTGTAAATCAAATAGAAGGTGATTACTCATCTTTCTCCCTTAGAGCAACTGATGGATTTGAACTGCTTGCCTTTGCGTTGGCAGCTCAACTCCTTGTCCACTAGGCTACCAAAGCTCCCTTATTCACAGGTACAGGGTTCAGAATTTAGAGTACATTTTGGATTATTTTTTTTTACTTATTGGTTGTCTGTGGTTTTTTTAGTTTAAATGAAACTTTACAGATTAGTTTTTCATTCAGTCGTTCAGTTGATAATGCAATTAATTAATTGCAATGACTAATCAAATCTGTTGTTCATAGGATGACTATTAATCATACTCAACAGCACTTAACGATAATGACAATAATCTCTTTATTATATATTACCTTTCCCTTCATCCAATTTATCTGTATAATAATTTTAGCCCCCTCTCCCACTCTTATATTTTGGAAGGGACACAATTATAAGAATATGTGACATGAAAATCATCTGTGGAGACTTCTCACCAAAGATCCTGTACTTGCTGCAGATAAATGAAGCCTTCTGGAGAATGAGGAAAGCAAATGAGTCAGTAACTTCAGACTTCATTCTTGTGGGACTCTTCAGCCACTCAGCGCCACACCTGCTCCTCTTCTCCCTTGTGGTCGCCATGTTCACCATGGGTCTAGTGGGTAACACCATCCTGATCTTCCTGATCCGCACGGACTCCCGGCTCCACACACCCATGTACTTCCTGCTCAGTCAACTCTCTCTGTTGGACGTTGGTTTTCCTCTAGTTACCATCCCCAAGATGGCAGCCAACTTCATGCAGGAGCAGGGATCCATCTCCTTTGGAGGCTGTGCAGCTCAAATGTTCTTCCTAATGCTGATGGGCGTCTCTGAGGGTGTTCTGCTGTCCCTCATGTCCTACGACCGCTATGTTGCCGTGTGCCATCCCCTGCATTATCCCGTGCTCATGAGACACCAGGTGTGCTTGCTCATGGTGGGCGCCTCCTGGCTGTCAGGTGTTCTTGTTGCTACCATCCAGACCTCCATCACCATGCACTTCCCCTTCTGTGCTTCTCACACCGTAGACCACTTCTTCTGCGAGCTACCTGCCCTGCTGAAGCTCGCCTGTGAGGACACCTCTATCTATGAGCTGACGCTGTCCATCTCAGGGGTACTGATCTTGCTGCTGCCCATGTCACTCATTGCCACCTCCTATGGCCACGTCTTAAGGGCTGTTCTCCGCATGCATTCAGCAGAGGCCAGACACAAGGCCTTCACCACCTGCTCATCACACATCACGGTGGTAGGGCTCTTTTATGGGGCAGCTGTGTTCATGTACATGGTGCCAGGTACCTATCACAGCCCACAGCAGGACAACGTGGTCTCCCTTTTTTATAGTCTTGTCACCCCCACTCTCAATCCCCTCATCTACAGCTTGAGGAACCGAGAAGTGAGATTGGCTTTGGCCAAAGTCCTTGGCCGACCCGTCTTTAAACCAAAGAGCTAACCTCTCAGAAGAAAGTCCTAGGCTGCCCCAGGGACCAGTACTTACTCAGACTTGTCTCCATAGTACTCATTTGCAGACCATCTGGGCCAACGTCAGATTCCTTTTTCTTCTTCAAATCAGTATTTTTTCTTTTACAGATTTGTAGAAAACATTACTGATCTCAATCTCTTAAACAAAAAGAATTTTTTTTACTTTCAATTTTAAACAAAAGGAGTGTTTTACTAGAAGATTGCCTTTCCCAACAATGACAATGGATCCTAACTTGTGCAAATGATTAAATGTTTGGCTGCTAGAGAAAGGTTCATAGTTAATCTGCTTAGAGATATCTCAAAAGAAGTCTGGTCACCTAAAAAAAAACCAAAACAACGCCCACACCTCATTTCCGTGAAGTTGGAACCGACTCATATTTGACTCACCAGTAGATATTCAGAGGCTGTAAATTGCATGGAGGGAGACTGCTCATTTTTCTCCCTCCAAGCCTCGGATCTGAACCACCAGAGATGTACCACCTATGGGTTGGCAGCACAACTCCAGGCTGACTGTGACATCAGAGCTTCCTGGGAGAAAGGGGGATTTGCTTATCCCAAAACTAACCACTGAAAGCTCTGTGAAATGCAGTTCTACTCTTCAGCATAGAGTTGCCACAAGCAGACATTGACTCAGTGGGAACCAAAAGTAACAGTGTCCTAACTTACACTCCACTCAATCAACACTCTTGGTACCAGCAGTCAGTAAATCAAAAGATGAATTGCAGTGAGAAAATCTGCTGTCAGGGATCTCTCCAGAGTTCTAAAGAGCAATGGTGTCTATCTGGAGACCAAGGTGCACCTGATCCAGTCTTTTGTAATTACTTGTTATGCATCAGAGAGCTGGACAATGACTAAGGATGACAGAAGGAGGATCGATGTCTTTGAGTTGTAGGGCTGGAGAAGAGTGTTCCATGAGAAGAACATTCCATGGGCTGCAAAGAGAACAAACAGGTTTGTACTAGAGAAGGTGAAACCAAGCTACTCCTTAGAGGCAAGGATTTTGATGTTCCATCTCACTTACTTTGGGCCCATGACCAGGAGAGATGAGTCCTTGGAGAAGGCCATCATGCTTGGAAGGGTGGAGGGATCGCACAAGAGGTATAGACCCTGGATGAAATAGACACACAATAATTGAAAGATAATGGGGCTAGGTGTGTCGGAGACAGTGAGACTGGCTCAGGATAGGATAGAATTCAGAGCTATTGTGCATGGAGTTGCTGTGAGTCACAGGTGACTTGATGGCACACAATGACAATAACAACAACGATGAGTCTGGGAGCCAAGCACTAAAATTGAAGCAATAAAAGGAATTCAGGGGCTGGTGTTCTGACAGTGATGAACCATATTGTTCTAGAGCCTATGTCCCTAATGGCCCTCAGTACTATCTTTCTTTGAGTCACACTTAGACTTTTTTCTAGAAGACTGTTTTTAGTAGAATCAAATGGATTAGCCTTTTACCTAAGAGGGAGAACATGGTATCCTCTCTAGGAAAAGAAAAATAAAAATATTTTATATATGAGTTTTTACTATGTGTTGTTTTGTTTTAAATACACAGCACATAACAGAAATACAAGGCAAGCAAAAATAGGAAAATCAATATGAACGGTGTGACTGAAAAGTTGCAATTAGTGAACCAAGATTATTACAAATGTGTCAAGGAAATTGGAAGACAAAATAGGCAAACAGACAGTGGATATCAGCAGATAAATTAAAGCTCAGGAAAAGGATCAAATGGCTTGTAGAAAAGAAAACCCATAATAGTGAAAATGAAGAGTTTAGGGCATGAGCTTAACAGCAAAAGGGGACAAAATCAACAAACTCAAAGAGAAAGAGAAAATACCCAACCGAAGTGGTAGAGGTGGGTTAAAGTAAAATGGCACTGACATCCTAGTATACCCTGGAGGCAATTTAATAAACAATATTCTTGAAAAAGAAGTCCCAAGTGGATAGAATAAAATATCACAGGACAGCAGTAATATTTGAAAAAAATAAAGAATGAAATGTCTCCAAAACTTAGGAAAGACATCAACCTACAGATATAAGAACCCCCGTGAAATCCAAGCAAGAACTCACTACACCAATAACAGCAAAAATGTACATTCTTTACAAGCTCTTTGTGATGCAATATCTTTGGTTTTTATTTTCTTTTATATTGGTTTGCATGCAAAGTTCATGTACAATGTGTTTTTTACATCACCATTGTGTTTCACAGTCTTTTATTCACATTGTGTTTCATACAATCATTTGTATGCATTGTGTTTTATAAAAGTACTATTGATCTATGTCTATTGTTACCCTTTATTTTTCAAGTCTCCATTAGAGCTTTCCTATTTTTTCACACCCTGCCTCCAAAGACCCACGAAACTGCTGTGTTATTGATTTCCCTCCTTTTCTGTGTTCTGACCCCTTCTTTTTTGTACATTTATATACATCTTACTAGTTACCCTTCTATTTTTACAATAGTGGACTTATGGCTGTTGTTTTTAGGTGCTGTCAAGTACAGTGTAATTTATAGTGACCCTGTGAACAGCAGACCTGAACCCTGTCCTATCTGGTGCTATCTTCATCATCTCTGACACGTTCGAGGCCACTGCTGCAGTCCTGAATCAATCTACCTCATGGGAGAAGGGGCATGTGTCTTCCTCTCTTTCACTGACCTTCTACCTTTCAAAGTATGATGCCCTTTTCCAAGGAATAGCCTATCCTAAGGGACTTTTGGTGGCCTTGTGGTTAGAAGCTGCACTGCAATCTCCCAAAGGTATGCAGTTCAAATTCACCAGTTGCTCTGTGGGAGAAGAATGGGCAGTCTCCTCTCGTGTGAATTACTGCCTGTGAAAACCTACTGGACGGTCAGCTATGAGTCAGTTCTGACTCAAAGACACAGAAAAACAACAACAGCAACATGCCCAGATTTTACAAGAGAAAGTTTCACCATCTTTGCCTCCAAGGAGTACTCTTTCCAATACATATCTGTTTGTTCTTTTGGCAGTCCATGGGATATTCTGTACTCTTCTCCAACATCACAACTTAAGGACATCAATTGTTCTTCTTTCCTCCTTATTCATTACCCACCTCTCAAACTTGTAGCAAATGATTGAAAAGACCATGGCCTGAGTCAGGCACACCTTAGTCTTCAGACTGATTATCTTTGCTCTTTTGTATTTTGAAGAGGTCCCTGACAGTAGATTTGCCCAAGACATTACATCTCCTGATCTCCTGACTGCTGGTTCCAGGGGTGTTGATTATGGATGCAAGGAAGATTAAATAATTGACAGCTTCATTCCTTTCTCTATCTATCATGATCTTTGACAAAGAGATAAAATCTGTTAAGTCAGAAAAAGACAGCCTCTTTAACAAAATGGTGTTGGGAAAACTGGATTTCTATTTTTTTATTTTTTTCCATTATTTTTAAGTTTTATTTTAATGTGATCGAAAGGTTACAGAGCAGATAAGTACTATGTCCATGCATTCATATGTATTTTGTTTCATGGCATTGATTAAAAATCCACACACTACTATAGATTTTTTATAATTATCTTGCTACAGTATTTGTTTCCAATTAAACCTTTTATTCTCTCCCTTTCTGCCCTCTATAAGCTCTATCCCTGGCTACTGCTGCCCTTTTGATCTAGAAGTAGAGATTGTTCTGGGGACAGAGTACCTCCCTGGTGTCACTATACTGATCAAAAAGGATCAGAATGAGTTGAAGCAATTTTAATACATCAAAATTGAAAGTCAATAGTAAGGTCTTGTACATTTATAAAGCATTAGTTTATGTTAGGTCATGTCTAGGAACTGGCTTACTGTGTTTTATCCAGAATTACATTCACGGACCTCGTTTCTTGATATTTTTATCTGTCTGGGAGTTGGTATTTGAGTTTGGTTCACATAGGATACTGGCCTGAGGTGTATATGGCGATTTTAGCCAGATTTGGGACTCATATTCTCTAAAATCTCAATCACACCTCCCCAGATTCACAGTAAGTTTGACAGAGTAAGAATGTTGCTGTGTACCGTGGAGTCAGAGCCGTACATAGCTGATCCAAGGGTGGGTTGGATTTCTATTTTTATAAAATTAAAACAA